ATAAACCCAGTCATTCTACCTCTACATACTCAGTGACTGAGTGCAATGATTGGAGTTATAGGGCAGTCAGTTAGATCCCTTTGCTTTTCTTCAAAAACAAAACAAAACTAAACATTTCCACTGGTTCATTTGAGTAAAACGGAAGAGTCCTTGCTGTGTGTGTAGAACCAGTTAGTTCCCCATAGTGTGTTTTGAGCACAAGCATCTAAAATACATCACTTTAGATCCACCCTCTCAGCGAGCAACTTCCATCAATTGTTCATCAGGAGACTTATCTGTTTTTCCTCAGACTGAAGGGAAGGTCTCATTATTGTTGGCCTAGTTGTGAAAACGTGCTGCAGCAGAACTAAATGTTTGTTGCCAAAAATCAACTCTTTCAAATGCATTTATCTTTAATTTTATAAATTAGAAAAAGTTGAAAGCACTCAATTTTTGAACTGACTTCAATTCTTGTTTCATTGCAGGCCTTAAATACTTGGTAAAGTTAGTTAGATAGTTTAAATTTTTGTTTTATTTATTTATTGATTTAAACCTGCCTCTGCATTTTATGGTTGAATACTTTTCAGAAACATGTCTGAAGTCAGTTTAAGTAATGCAAAAAAAATTGCAAGGCTGTCTTTGAAGAGGAAAGATAAGCAAAGGGAAATGGAGGAATTTGTTTGTTTCACCCTCTGCGGTGCATTTAAGGAATTTGGAGGAATAAAGGGCATGAGAATAACTCAAAACTTGACATTTGTTCTCTCCAAATCCTCAGATGTCACTTCACTGAGAATAATTCATCAATATCTTATTTACCCTCAAAAGTTTTCTTTGGGAACCTTTTTTTTTTTTAATAAAACCCCCACATCGAGCATTCACAAATTCCACCTAAAATTCCTTACAGCTAAATGTAGCCAAATAGTTATATTTTCTAATGATGCTAACTTTCTTAATTTCTGTAATGAAGTTTCATGCCGTGAAAATGTGGCTGTCGTCAAATAAATCAGAAATTTCGTCTGGATAAAAGGTCAAATGTGCTTCAGACAAAACTAATCAAACTTATCTGTGACAGTGCAAAAGTCTACAAGTCATGCAAGCTCTATGTGGGGAATTATAGTGACATTACATTTCTATTTTGAACTACCGGTAGGTAGGTTTAAATTAAAAGAGTTAACTCCAGTGGTTTACCAGATATTTTAATAGGCAATTCTGAAATGCGGGTACGCATGCAATGTAAACAAAGCACTCGGCAGAAAACCACTTGTAAGCTTGACTCAGGTGAGTGACCTACATTATGGCTGCATTCTGTCAAATATGGTGCAATCAGACTCTCCGAGAAGATGCTGAGATAGAAATATAAGAATGAATCTGCTGCTAAACCCAAAATAAAGAAAAAGATTGAGTAAGACAACCGTCAAGAATAAATATCAGGGATCAAGCAGGAGGGTAGAGCACCATAAACAAAAAGCTCAAAGCAGCTTTAGCAAAACTTCTTCTCGACTGCTTAATGTTTAACCTGTTTCCATCACTTCCGTTGTTTCCGGTAAACAAACGAACGGTAGTTGGCATCAGGTCACAAATTTTGTGTCTCTTCGGACATATTAACTATCAATATTGTCTTTTTCATAGACATACTTTTTACCCAGAGTTTGGAGGAGAGACCAGTTACAAAGATAAGTGGTTTATTTTACAGGTGAGTGAGGAGAGTCAGGAGCTGGATCTGGCTCAGCATCCCTATTGACTTGTTCTTACTTTGGTTGTTCTTTCTCTTAGAGCTTGTAGAACTGAGGGTGTCAAGGAGGATTCCAGGTTTGCAGTTGAGATGGTGATTTCCAGGTATGTTATGTACAGGTAGGAGAGTGAAAGAACAGCCAGGTGTCTATAAGATTCAGTGATAACCAAATGGCAAGAATGGAGACTCCAGGGTGGAACTCAGAGGAAGTACTGGGTACGGGTTCAGAGGAGAGGAGCCACAAAGATGCTACAAGGAGATAAGAAAAGCAAAAGACACACAGAGTTACTCAAAGCAGTTCTCTATAGGTTTTACTCAGATGCTGTCAGCTGAATCATCATTTGGTAATTAACGGCCCAGCATTGAATCCTGGTCCAACTCAACCTTATACAGGTGGTGATAATCAACCAGCTCCACCCACTCTCAGGATCTGCAGGGGGTGGTTAGTAAAAACCACTGGAATCCTAACAGATATGAGAAAACAGTGTGCAGATTTTGTTTGTTACTTCATCCATCCATCCATCCATCCATCCATCCATCCATCCATCCATCCATTATCTTTACCCGCTTTTTCATTTTCATGTCGCAAGGGTCACTGGTGCCCATGTCCAGCAGTCATTGTATGAAAGGCGGGGGACACCCTGGACAGGTCTCCAGTCCATCACAGGGACATATACAAATGACACAAACAACCATTCACTCTCATTTCCATCTAGGGACAATTTAGAGTTACCAATCAGCCTAACATGCATGTTTTTGGTATGTGGAGGAAACCGGACTACCTGGAGAAAATCCACGCATGCACGGAGAGAACATGCAAACTCCACCCAGAAAGGTTCCGGACCAGGATTTGAATCAGCGACCTTCTCGCTGAGAGGCAGCAGCTCTACTAACTGCGCTATCGTGACACCCTGTTTCTTACTTCATGATTTTATTTTATTTTTTTGGACTGGTGTTTATACATTTGAAACGAGTACCTTGAAGAAATGTTTTGTTTTTTCTTTTGACTGCTTTTTCTTTGACTGACTACTTTTGAAGCCACTAACAACTCAAGACAATCAAAATGTGTCTGAAATAAAAACAGATGAAGTTTTATTTCTTTATTCATTAATCTCATTTTGAGGGGCTTGGAAATTTTCAGTATGTGTTCATTGCCATATCACGCCGTCAGAAAAATATCTGGTGTTGTTTCGTCATTTGACTTCACCAGAGAGGGTTTACACTTTTTTTGTGCAGAAAGTAGCAGAAATCATCTGTGAATCTCGAGCGTGCCCTTTTCTTCAGAGAAATGAGCAGAGAAATGCTAACTGCCCAAAATGAGCTGTGAGTCAGTAAACAACAAAATGCAACCCATGATGACTTGGATCTTTATCTGAATACTTGACTTGTGACAGTCTGGTCTCAAATTCCCAGAGAAGAAATAGACTCGTAGCTAAGATGCAACAAATTGTTTCCCATGTTGTCATGCCTCGTTTCACGATTTTTGCTCATGCTGAGCCTCACCACCAACGCTCCATCCACTCCCTGAAATGGAAGCTGCAGATTCCAGATGTGGGTCGAGGTGAAGACAGGATGTTCTTATTTCACATGTTTGCACCCATGACCCACAGCAGCGTGGCTAATTGTTGCAGAGATAAAAGAAAACAGTCTGCAGCACATCCACACACTGCAGGGTCCTGCTGGACAAAAGAGGATTATTTACACTGATATAAAAAGCTGTGCATCCTGTTGCTGAAGTTAAAAATAAACCCGAGCCATGTTTATTCTAAACACTCGGGCACATAGATCCAATCTGAACATACGAGGAATGGCTGTTTTTTTTTTTTTTAACTCTTTTTCCTCCTATCGAGATAAGTTTACTCACCTTTAACCTGAGCTCCACAGTACTCTGATTGTATTAAACACAGAGGTTGGTGAGATAAACGACTAAAGTTTATTGATCTGTTTCAGGATTTAACTCAAATTTCCGTTTACAGATGACACATCAAATTATTTGAACAAAGTCCAGGCATTAATGGCAGCTTTTGCAATTTTTGTTCACTTAATTAACAACTTTCAAATTCTGTATGCAGTTAAAGTACATGTACATGATAAATTAAATGGTATATAATGTATATAGTATATAATATTGTATGTAATGTATTTTTTTCCACAGTCAAATAAAACAAACATTTAGAATTAAAGCAAAACCTTGTATGAGTTTACTGATATAGAAAATGTATCTACCAGTGGAAGTTCACGTGTTCTTTTTTAAAATAAAACAAAAAAATATATATATAGTGAATGAATCAGCCGTACAAAATTATTGATTCAAACAACCATTTATGAATTATCACTGCAACACAATTTAGTAAAAACCTAATTATCTGTAAATACTAAATACTTAAAAAACATGCATTAATTCCTTGGACGCCATGAAAATCTGAGAGGATTATCTCTGATTGTGACTGTTGCTGCCTTTGTTTGTAAAATCACATTCACGTTCAAATCTTTCTGCACAGTTTTAAGTTCTTATGTGCACAGTTTGATTCATATTTTGCACAAATCTACTGTTTTTGTAGCTGTCAATCAGTTTGATCCATCTATTTAAAATGATCAGGCGGTGGTGTAATTTTATAGCAATGTGTGTTATTTCACCAAAACAACATATTTTCCACATAAATCAGTGAACAAATATAAAAAGTACTAAGTAATGTCCCTTTTTGTTGACGTGTTTGAACGTTTTGCACAAAGGTTTGATAAAACCTTGACAATGTAGCCTGAAAAAAATTGTTCAACAAAAATAACTTAACTATTTCTTTTTTTTTCTTTCTTAAATCTAACCAGAAGTTCTTTTCTTCAGATTGATTTAAACCCAATTTAGGTGGATTTAAACCCATCTTAGATGGATTTAAACACAGTTCGGATGATCTAAATCCAGTTCAGATTTATTTAAACCATGTATGTGAAGAAGTTTTTTGGATGAAAGATGAAACGTTTCTACAATTTTTTTCTTTTTTGATTATTTTGTTTTGTTTTTTGAATGTCCATAGGACCAGACTTAACTTTTTTAGACATGTTTAGATTCATTTTAAAGTTTAGGTTGATTAAAACCAGTTTTGATTGATTTAAGTCCAGTTTAGATGGACTTAAACCAGTTTAGATTAATTTAAACCAGTTTAGATTGATTTAAACTTAATTTGAATTGATTTAAATCAACATTAAATTGATTTAAACACAGTTCAGATTAATTTAAACTCAATCAAATTGATTTAAACCAAATTTACAGTGATTTAAACTAGTTTAAATGAGTTTTAACCCAGTTTAGATTGATTTAAACCCAGTTTAGATTGATTTAAGCTTAATTTATATTTATTTAAATCATGTTTGGATTGAATTAAATCCAGTACAGATTATTTTAAACTCAATCCTATTGATTTAAACCAAGTTTAGATTGATTTAAACCAGTTTAAATTAGTTTAAAGCCAATTTAGCTTGATTTAAACCCAGTTTAGATTGATTTAAACTTAATTTAGATTCATTTAAATCAAGATTAGATTGATTTAAACCCAGTTCAGGTTAACTTAAACTCAAGCCTATTGATTTAAACAAAGTTTAGATTGATTTAAACTAGTTAAATCAGTTTAAACCCAGTTTAGCTACAAGTAGACTTAAACCCAGTTTAAACTGATTCAAACCAGTTTAGATTATCCATCCATCCATTTTCTTTACCCGCTTATTCCATTTTGGGTCACGGGGCTCGCCGGTGCCCATGTCCAGCAATCACTGTGCGAGGAGCAGGGTACACCCTGGACGGGTCGCAAGTCCATCACAGGGACACATAGAGACAAACGAGACAAACAAACATTCACTCTCTCACTCACACCTAGGGACAATTTAGAGTTACCAATCAGCCTAACATGCATGTTTTTGGTCTGTGGGAGGAAACTGGAGTACCCTGAGAAAACCCACGCATGCACGGAGAGAACATGCAAACTCCACCCTGAAAGGCCCCTGGACCGGGGTTTGAACCAAGGACCTGCTCGCTGAGAGGCAGCAGCTCCAGTTCTGCCACCGTGCTGCCCAGTTTAGATTATTTAAACTCAATTTTGATTGATTTAAACCCAGTTTAGATTGATTTGAACCAGTTTAGATTGATTTAAACTCTATTTAGATTGATTTAAACTTTATTTAGATTGATTTAAATCAAGTTTAGATTGAATTAAACCCAGTTCAGATTAATTTAAACTCAATCATATTGATTTAAACCAAGTTTAGATTGATTTAAACCAGTTTAAATTAGTTTAAAGCCAATTTAGCTTGATTTAAACCCAGTTTAGATTGCAACAAAGTCCATGCTCAATAATCCAGGTATAAAATCCAACATTTTTCAGTCAGGTCATCTGGA